CAATGCTCCTATCACATGCATTGTTCATGACCTAAGTCTAGTCTAGGCCCAATGGCCACCAAAATGCAAAATAAAAATAAATCCTCCAGCTCAGCCCCAGGGCTTCTTGCCCACCGCTCCAACTCCGTTGCTACCTCCTGAAATAAAGCCCCCAAAGCAAGGTGAGATATAAGAATATATCTCAGTAACCCAAAGGTTCTGGAGAATACTCCGTCCAATGGTTCACTTCCATGCATATAAATAACATAACATAACATCCGAAAACGAGATAAAGCAAGGGATTTAGAGAAATATGGGAGCATAGGGATACAAAATACGACGAAGCTGGAATGGTCGATGCCAAAACCATGCAACGTCCAGCCTATTGGCTCGGCATATAAGCCTACGGGTTTCAAACGAAGGCGTGTTCCCAGAACATCAAACCAAGGCACCCTCCATCCATATACACCCGAGACTTCCTAGTGTGCTCCTATCCGGATCACACACCACGACCCCAGGTCAACCAGAACTCCCTCACAGAGACCTATCCAGTGGAAGTCCGTAACGCCTGAAGGCAAATAGTCTACTGGCCAGAGACACGGTACATCCTATGTATCAACACACATACAATATGCATGATCATGTTATCCTATATTATTTACATACACTTCCTACCATTACCCTCAACGGGCATGGTGGAACACACAAGGGGATCAAGCTCCAGTACCTAGAGGTTACCTTGCTAATCACCTCCACGTAGCTCCAACACAATATATTTTCCGAGCTAGTTACACCAACAGAATGCCTACACAGAGGACATTCCCAATCAAACTCCCATTCACCAATTACATGTCAATTCTTAAGCATAAATGCATGATTCAAAAACTTACCACAATCCCTTTTGGTCCGGGACCAAGGGCAACCAACCGAGCTCACGGTTCGGGGTTCAAATCCACGTACGACAACCTACAACGATCATATACGGATCGTCAGAACACGACAAACCATCAAATTCACAAAACGACAATTTTTCCTCCCCCCACATAGTGAGGTTCGGCCAAAATAGTGTAAAAATACACTTTATTTTTCTAAATTTTCTTTTCATTTTTATAAGGCACCCCAAGGTTACCAAAATGTCATTTTAGGTGTCACTTTTCATTTTATACCATCCTAACATCATTTTGCCCAATTATTTCCTTCTAGGGACAATACACAATCCAATATTTTTCTATTGATTTTCAAACCTTCCAACCATCACACAACCCTTCTAATTACCATTTAACACTCAACACATCATCCAAATAATTTTACAACATCATATTCATCATTTTTTCCATTAAGGCCGAATTCATCATAGGCATGCACCAAGGGATTTTCAATCCAATTCAACTACTCCACACATCATACAATCCTATTATTACATCATACAACCATACAACAACTCAATTTCACAATCCTAACACAATTCAAAATCACAAGTTCATGGCATCATCCAATTTCCATCAAGTTATGATCACATTTTCACCAATAATTTTTATTGCATTTATAGCTCCAACACATCATTCTAAGACATAATCATCTAATACACAATTTCCATTTGAGCTCTCTAACTCCATAAATCAAGCATACAAGCTCTAGGTTTTCATGAAATTAAATTCATCAAATCAACCATGAAAGGTGTTCAAACTTACCCACAATTAAGTCACAAGACTCCTTCTAGTGATTTCCAAGCAATAGCTTGAGCAATCAACTCCAAAATCACAAAATTCTTCAAAATTCAGTGGCTGACGTTTACCTTTTTCTCACAAATGAGAGGGTTTCAAGGGAAACTAATTGGTGGGATGTGTTCGGGTGATGATTTTCAACAACTTTGCTCACAAACTTTTCTCGATTCAGAGTAGTATTGAAGGAGTTATGAAAGATTGAAAATTTGAGTCAAAACTTCCTCATTTCACAATGGAGGCCGTGGAATAGGAGAGAGAAGAGGGAGGAAGGTGAGTGAATACTGACTAGGCCATGTTGTCATATTGTCACTTAAGTGGGGTGGGTCCCATCGCCACCTCACGCGTCCAAATTAATTCAAATCTTCTGTCTATTCCGCTAAACGTCCATAATTTCATAACCTATTTCAAAACTCTAATATTTAACATTAACTATTGTCCTTTAATTACCCTTGATCAGATGAATCCGGAGTTTTCTGGTCGTTCGGAGAAATTGCAGTTTTAAGTCGTTACGCGCGCCCTAGGCACGCTTCCCCAAACTTACTAATTTTCATAAATTTTCATCAAAAATCATATTTCCTAGTCCTATATACCATTTATAACTTATTTTCAAACCTAGAGCTCAAAATTCAATCGGCACGTTTTACGGTGCAACTGTACCGCAGTATTTTTAACCGGTAAAAACATTATTCACCGAATATTCAGAAACTTGCCTACCCACTCAATTTTTCGTTCTGAATCCATTTCCAGGGTTATTTTTATCATTTGAGACCTCCTGCTCAATTTTACCTTCCTAGGGTTACGTGTTTGGCTAATTACTGTTTTACCCTTCCTTTGTATTTTGGCCTTAAGTTTAGGATTTTCACTAATCCTACCCTTAAATCCATATTTAATATATCATTACATGTTTTAGGATTGCGAGGTGTTATATGTAAGAGATAATATCAAAACCATTATTGTAGCCTCACCACCTCAAGTGTGAGTCATAGGCCCACATTTTTTCCTTCTCAAGCAGAAGAGGCTTCTTCAAGTATTCATGGGGTTCATCAATTATCAAAGCTTGGCTAGACTCATCAAGGACTTGGTCTCCCATATCTTTAAATACTTGAATCACCACAGGCCAATCCATCATTGGCGAGGATACTACTTATTGGGTCGTGCACGGGGAGCTCATGGTCGGGAGAGACAACAACCATGAGTCAAATGAGCAGTAACATTAAGTGGGCTCGAAACACCACAATCAAACCCAAAACATTAAGTGATCATTATTCACCTTTCAAACCCAATGGGCTCTCTTGTGAGGGAACGTGTTAGAGATAATATAAATCATTAAAAAGACCTATTGAGTGAGAACCTTTTTAATGATTTATATTATTCTCTAACAGATGCAGAGCACATTCACATATATGAGAAGAAATAACTAAAATCAACACAATGAATTGAGCAAAATGCGAGGTCAAAATGGAAGTAAGTGATACTTAAACTTCAGAATTCAAATTTGATAAAAAAAACACTGATTTAACAAATTTTGCAAAGAAATAGTCCTAGATTTAAGAGATGCAGACTTGACGAGGAAGAGAAAAAAAATTAAGCAAACAATTTAATAAATGTTTTTTATTTTTTTTATTTTACAAAAAAGACGGAGATGAAAAAAATAATAATGGAATAGTTCTGCACGTGTCCTGAATGTAGCCAATTTATATATATATATATATATATATATATATATTTGCCACATTTAATACAATAATTTTTTTTTGTTATTTTATAGTATGTATTCTCGTTCAATCTCTCAACCACTTTGCTCTCAAAGTATGACCCTAGAGATAGCTTCTTATTGGAACAGAGAATGTATTGGTCTCGATATCAAAGAGAGAATAAGACTAATCTCTCGTCGAGACTTATAGCACAAGGGTTTCGCTTCTAGCCCGAAAGAGTTTTGCCAATAATCGAACACAATACCTAAATCTTAGGACAAATTTCGCTACAAAGAATATTTTGAGATTTTTAACTTCCTAACTGATGATAATTTATGAATTATTCCGTAGCAGCAATACTTGTTTTTAACAACGTTGTACATTAAAATTTACGTGAATGTTATTTATTTGTTATTTTGTTCTAATAAACAGGATTATTAAATTAGTTTGCCTTGCAACGGCGGAGCCACATTGGGGGAGGAGGGACCTTAGCTTAAGCTAAGTTTTGAAAATTAGCCACAGTTTCAACATGATTAAAGAAACATGACTAATTTCCAAACTTATTTTTAAAACATTAACCATATTTTAGTGTGGCTAACTAACCGTGGCCTAGACTAAATATTTTTGACCTGAGCTAAGTTGCTAATGGCTTCGCCACTGTTGCTTGTTCTCCCATGTTCTTGGAAGTATGTAGTCAGCTTCGCCTTGGCTAATCACCGGTACACTGACAAGACCTTAGAGATAGTTGGAATTTTTCCAAATAATTTAATGAGGGATGGACCACCATAGCTTTAGATCTTCCACGTGGCTCTCAAATTTTGTTTTCTTTACCAGTTTTTTACTAGAAAATTTTATTTTAAAATATATAAATTTTCGACATTTCTAAAGATAGTTGGACTTTCTTCAAATAATAATTGATCTGCGGTGGACCCCAATAGCTTTAGGTCTTCCATGTGACTCTTAAATTTTGTTTTCTCTAGCGTTTTTTTCTTTGTTGAAAATTTTATTTTAAAATATAATAATTTAAAAAAAATTAAAATAATTATTCTTACAAAAAATTAAACAACCATATATTATATTATATGTTTTCAATTAATAATATTACAAATTAACATTTGTTTAACATTTTTTCATTTTCTTATTTCTCCATCAATTTATTAATTACTTGACTAATTCAGTTTGAAATAGACAAAATTGTAAGGGTAACAAAATTCTACTCCCAATCAAATTTTAATGCAAATGCACATTCATGACTCAAATTCATTAATTTTTTGTTTTTTTGAGATATTACATTTAGTTCATCACTTCGCAACTAGTTTAATTCGATATAATTCTGAGATTATGACTTTAAACCTTCTCACCCTTGCCTGTTCAAATTTTTGACATTAATTGAATTATCATCATTGGTTAAATTGATTACATTTGGATAAGTCAAATTCTAGGTTCTATCTAGTTCATTAAGAACTTTTGGGTATTATAATATTATTTTTGTTTTAGTTAATTTAATTTTCAATAACAATTGCGACATCTAACAACAACAATAATCAGACGTCTAATAAAAAGGGCCAGCAACTTGATTGTGGAAGATCACTGTGAACAGTTCCTAACAGCAATTATCATTCCCCTCAAAAAAGTTGTTATTTTCCACATTTGTTTCATCACAAAACCATATCTGTGTCGTGTCCAGGTGAATTTCATGAGAGGACACGAAAGGTTGATCCGAAAAAGGTAATAGATACTCATCGTTGTTGTTGTAACTGAAATCGCATACATGTGAGAAATCCGAGTTAAGAAGATCAGGTAAGCAAATATCCCCAGCATCAAAATCTAAGAGCAAATCCGTTGAGAGTTCTTTCTCATCACTGGGAAATGACAAACCTCCATCGTCGCACACACCCGCAGTCTCCATTTTGTTACTGATTGAATTATTGGCACCATCGTTCACTAGCAATGGCTCTGGCTCTGTTTCCTGTTGTTCAATGGACTTGCTCTGCAATTGCATTGATGAGAGAGGGAGTGTATCTACCAACAACAACTTAGAGCACTTTGATGCTTTTGTACGTACCACATGGGACTCATTAGGAACAGACGAGAGCTTTGATTTCTGTGCGTTCCTTGTATTAACTTTTTTACATAAATTAGTGTTCCAGTAATTCTTTATTTCATTGTCTGTTCGTCCAGGAAGCCTTCCAGCTATTAGAGACCATCTACCAGAGAATGAGACAGTGCAATTAACACCCATTACTATCGCAATTGATTTAATTATAACGACAAAAAAGTAAAGGACATATTGAGAGAAAAGAAAGGAATGGTTAAAGGCTAAAGCTACCTGTTTCCGAGGAGCTTGTGAAGTCTGATTATAAGGTCTTCTTCATCTGGGGATATATTGCCTCTCTTAATATCTGGTCTCAGATAATTCAACCATCGAAGTCTGCAACTTTTACCACAACGTTTCAAACCTGCAAAGTCAATAACATTCATTATTGGTTTCACTAAGAGCATGAGACAATAAATTCCACATGAAAATATAATGAAATTTCAGCATGTAAATTCGAAAGTATATAATTAACCTGCTTTTAAGGGAAGCGTGTTCCATTTTCCTTGGCCATGGACATTAATATACTCTCGGAGGATTTTATCTTCCTGGGCTGTCCAAGCACCTCGATTCAGTCCCACCTTTAAACAACAAGGGCTTCTTCCCATCTCTCTCTCTCTCTCTCTCTCTCTCTCTCTCTCTCTCTAATCGCAAAGCCTTTTTAGCCTCTTGAAGTTGTGTTCTTTGTAAGTTTTTGGTTTAACCGCGCTCGCTCTCTAACTGGGGACAGAGTATGAATTCTTATAGCCACTGAAGTGTTTAGCTGTTACCCTAGCAGACCAACTATGACATTAATCGCGCGTACATATTTCACATTGATAAATTTCGTTTTTTGGTGCAGTCTAGTCTATTTCATCACGTTTCCAAAAGGAAATTTTGCTTACGTAGCTATATTTTGGTTGCATGTGGAATTAATTGGACCATCCATGAGTGTAAGCTTCAAATAGTGATTTCAATAACTATGTACAGAAGTGCCCCACAGTCAAGAGAATCTGGTCCTCTTGTCTGAGAATAGTGAAATGAAAAAAATCATGTATTTATTTATATATGTTTCTCATATTGCATAAGATAATTTTGTCTCATACGACACTCATAAAAATAGATGGGACTCACTAAGGAGATGATAAATAAATAAAAAAGTAGGTCCCACTGATTTTTTGTATGTGTATGAGACAAAATTATCTCATGTAACATAAGAGACATATTTCTCATTATTTAAATAAGTATGGTTTTGAACAACTTGTTGACAGTAGCAAAATGTTAGAATTTGTATCTAAAACTGCATGGGTTATGAATAAGAAGTGGCTTGATATTGAGAAAGGAAAGGAAAAGGGAAGGTGAAAGGAAAGTCTCACATTGGACAAGTACTGAGAAATGTAAAGGTTTATAAACCCTTACCTTACTCTTCAGTTTGCCCCCTAGGGGCACTCTACTTTTGTGGATGAGAGAAGACGCAGATCGGCCTTGGTCAACCACGCGTGCGCGCCGCCTACCAACCTGTCTCGGTTTATAAAAATTTTATTATTTTTGGCCAAAATATCCATTGCTTCCCTCCAACCTTTTCAAACTGAAACGTTACTCCCCACCAAATTTTGAATCGATCTGGTTCTTCTTTTTTGTTTCACTTCTGAACCGAAATGGTATGATCGGTTAATTTTGAACCAAACAGTGTGTGCGTTCGCAGCCATCAGTCACGGCATTTCGCCGGCAGCGGTTCATCGGTTCATCGTGTCCAGTCCGTGTCTATAGATAGACATTGAACCCTTCAGAAATTATTCCAGATTTTATGCATCGTTACTCTGCCAAAAAAATTTTGTGCATTCTGTTGGGTCAAAAGCTGTTGGGTGAAAAATATATTATGATGGAGAACATTATAGTTCAGTAAGAGAAAACACTTGTGCTCTCTTACTTTCAACCCAAGTGCGCAAGTGCGAGCATCAAGTAATTAAGGGACTATTAGTGCCCAGATTATCGTTCTCACGAGGATAGAACTCTAATTAATGCCTTAAACTATTTTACAAAGAAGGAAAATGAAAAGAAAAGTTAGTAATTGACCTGTTTGGTCAAACGTTCCCACTGTCTTGACAACGTTCCTCAAGAACAGTAGGTTCAATCTGACAGCAAACAGTTCATCGCTTCGTTATGTATGATACCCTTCTTGTTGAGAGAAGGAAAAGCAATATTCATGGGAGATTTATAGATACAAGATTGAATAAAGAACAGAAAAATAACAATAGCAATAATAGTAATTAAGAGACAACAGTATGGATGGTGTAAAACAGTCTTAATAGAAGGAACGGATCCACTGTTCCATTCTTAAATAGTTATTCTCTCTACTCAAGACTTAACACTCTTTTCTCTTTGTTCCAGTCTCTTCACTGCCAACGTCTGATTCCTCAGCTTATGGACTAAATGGCTCACAAGTTTCCATATTCCTATGGCTCCCTTGACTCCAACAGTTACTTAACACAGAACCTTAAAATGAACGAGGTGGTCCCTTATTCCTAAGGCAACCATCAGTGTTGTTTCCACAACACTATCTTCCCCCTCTGGTTAAGCTGTCTGAAATCCCTTCCTTATGGAAGTTCCTTTCTTAGTATGTGTTCAATTTCCATTGATACACAATGAATATAGCTTACTTAACCAGAGAAATACAGAAGCTCAATACAAAAGTTTTGAAAATAAGTCTTTAAGAACTTTGCAATTTTTCCGTTCCACAGATAGTTTAGCCTATGGCTACTACTTTAAACATAATTAGTCTGAACTGAAGTCCCATAGACCCGAGATTCAGGTCAGAGATAACGAATGGAAAGGAGAGAAATAACACTTGTATTTAAATGAAAAAAAATTGATTACAACAAAATGAAAAGTGGAGAACATGGTTGCTGCTCGTGAGGAGTCTAAAGTGGGTGATAATGAATGAAGAAGAAGTGTTGTCACTTAACTAAAGTTAAAACTATACAAAAGAAAAACTACAAAATAAACTAAGTGATCTCTTCTTAAGGAATTCGATATGTTCTTCGTGCTAGAATGTCCTATTTATAGGCAGAAGAGTGAATGGCAAAATGGGTCATTCTCTTGGAGTTGTTTTCTTAACTGCTTGAAAGGGGCAATATGAACAGTGCTTTGAGGGGCGCAAGTGGCTGGATGGGACAGTTATTGTTGAGATTTGTCTTTCCTTCTGATCATCCTCATGCCTCGCTTTCCTCTTTAGCCAATAGGAACCGTTTATTCCCTGTTGTGCACGTTTCCTCTTGCTTGATTGTTGCACCGCTTATGCTTTATGGAAACTTCTTTCCAACGTTTCCTGCAAAGTGGTCAGAAATATTAAATGAGTGTGGAGCAGATGTATTTAATGTTCCCAATTTGTTCCCCATTTTATATATTTTCCAAAGACTTACGTCACCATTCGTTCCCCACTGTGTTTTTGTCATAAAGATATTAAACATGTGCTTTTAGTGCTAAAGTTTCTCATCAGGTGAGGGAACAGATGGTATTTTGCCATCAAAATGGGCTTAGATGGGAACAAATTTTCGTCCTATCAAACACCCCAAAACTAAACTGTTGGTTGTCGTCAAACAACTCAGAAGTAGTGGCTTAGGCTGCTCAATTTCAAAGAATAGCTCAACTTCAGAAACTTAAGCCAGTAAGAAACCATAATCTTTTCAAAGAATGAACTACTTTCCACAAGTGACAAGTAAAAAGAATTCGTTCCAAGGTAAGTGAAGGTTGCTGATCTTCTGTCTCACTATCACTCAAGGCTTGGTGTTTCTCTGTCAATTCCTGGATGTGATTCTTCAAACTTGCTTATCTGCTGCTTTCCTAAGAAGTGCAGGGGTCTTTCATATCAATGATCTTTGTGAAAATGATTGATGCAGGGTTTTTAGAAATGGAATGGTCACAGGTCTTGGGTCAAGGAACATTGTTCAGTTCTTCTATTACGGAGCTGGACTTTCCTGGTTGAGGGAACACCTTGTCTTTTTGTACCTTCTTTTTTCCCTTTGGAGGAATCTTTTCTGGTATTTTCTTCTGAATTCTTTTCAATGGCTATTCCCATTTTTCTTTGTTTTCTTTTCTTCTTATCCTCTTTTCTCATTTTGGATTTGTTCCTTGCCCCTTTTAGTTGACCATGGGATGAGTGTGTGTGTATGGGTTTGTGTTGTGGTATGAATGGAAATGGAAGTGTTTATTTGATTTGGAAAGGGTGAGTGTTTGGAGGTTGATCCTTGTTAGTGAAATTCACCTGTTCTTCAGCAGTACTGACAGCTAGGAGTGTTCATCAACCGATCCAAACCAATTCAAACCGCGGTGACCGAACTGAAAAACCGATAACCGAATAAACCGAAAACCGAAAAATCGAAAACCAAAAAAACCCACAAATTTTAATTGGATTGGATCGGTTTTTGGATGGGTTGATGAAAACTGATCCAATCCAAACCGATCCAATATATTAATTCCCCTCTACCTACTTGGATCTTTTCTCAATCATAGCCCAAAAATTTTTAAACCCAAGACTCATTGTGTATCAAACTATCAAATAAACCCAAGAAAAAATCTAGTCACATCTCATCAACAATTTTATCTTTGTAGAGTTTCATATCTTATTGCCAAAAAAAAAACTATATTATAGTTTACTAATGTTTTTGTATTTAAAAAAATAATAATTTACAAAGCCAATATATACAAAAGATGTTATTTGCATAGTAATTATGAAATGAATTTTAGGATTTTTAAAAAATCGAAAACCATCCAATCCAAACTGAAAAAAATTGGATTGGATTGGATCGGATTTGAAAAAAATCCTAACCGAATGGATGATTATATGATAAAACCGAAGGGATTGGATCGGATGATTTTTGCTTCCAAAACCGATCCAATCCAGACCGCGAATACTCCTACTGACAGCATCAAGGCAAATTTAGAAGTTTCATTGTGGTGACACCTCAGGAACGCTCTCATGAGAAAGTGTTTGGCATTTTTTGTTCCTCACCAGCTTTAGTTCACATAGATCAGTTTCCTTCAAAAATCTGAAGATTAAATTCATTTCACCTTTCCTATTTCAAGCATTCAGAGTAAGAACAAGAATTATTACTTATTGACTTTGTGCTTCATGCCATTGGTTTATTCAAAGTTTCGCAGCCACAATACTATAACTGAAATGTATGTTCCAAACAGTTTGATCAAAAAAGATTTTTCTATTTTAAAAAAGAAATTAAAATTGTACACTAGGAAACAGAAAAGAAAACAAAAGTAAATTAATAGAAAACCAGTAAATGGGTGATAAGAAAAATAGGAGGGTTTTTCTCCTTTTCAATGGGGACGTCTCTTGCCCAGCTTAGAATTCTTTTCAGCATCCAGCTCCTCCTACGTAGGTGGCCTTCTTCCAAGCTGATCTCTTAATCTTTTGACTTCAGCTTTTGGGAGCCACTTCTCAGCGTCCTTCAATATATCGCTGATCACAGCAGTGAGGTGCACAATGGTGGATCTCATCATTATCCTGCCATTATGGATATGCACTATCTGCCCTTCTATATCCACCAGTCGGTTTTCCAGCTGAGTCATTCTCCCCTCCAAATATGTACCAAAATCCTTGAGAGGTTCATTGGTT